TTGGATTAGGTGTCTAAGCCCATAACTATAATTGGTATGTACTTGAATTGATAGCAGCACAGTCCTTTTGGGTTGCCCTCAAACCTAGCAACTGGACAAGGAAATTATGAAAGGAGAGATATTAATTTATAAGATTAATAAATTAATATAAATGATTTATTAATATGTTAAAAGATTAATATATTAATTAGAAATCATTATGTTTAATTAATAGTTAGCCAGAAATTAATCAGAATTAATTTTGGGGTTAAAAGTATTAATTATAAAGTGCAGGGACTAGTTTGCAATTGTCAGATAGTTGAGTGGAAGGCTCCAGAACCTCCTTGGAAGGAGGTGGACGAAATCTATAGGGGAAACCCTAAGGATTTCGTCCAAGGGGCTTTGGATAAGGCCTTTGGATTAGCTTAGGCCCCAAGCAAAGGAGTATTAGGGTTTTCCCTAAACCCTAGATCCCTCAGCTATATAAGGAGCCTCCCAGCTCCTGAATTCGCCCACTCCTTCATTGGTGAAACCCTAGGGACGAAAATTGCATACTCCCTCTCTCTCTCTCCTTCTAATTTCCTTCTTGCTAGCTCTTGGGTGTGATTCCATTAGAGGCATTACATTTGTGGTGCTAAGCTTCCAAGAAGATCAAGATCAAGATCAAGAGGATTGTCAATTGTTTGCTATAACAATTGAAAGGTATGTAACTCTTAAACTCTAGTTTGTTAATTTCGAAATTAGCCTCTCTCCTCTAGGGTTCTTGTTTTGCAATTCAAAGTTATATGTTCAATAGTTAAAACATAGATCCAAAGTAGGTTGCATGTGAACTTAGGAATTGTTTTCTAGTTTATTTGTTTCACTTAAAACCCATCATATGTACGCAAGGCGTACTCAATTTGTGTTTACCCCCTTTGACTTTTTGACTTTTGACATTTGACTAGACGTTTGGCGAAGTTTAACTTAAGGGAATTTTGGGTAATTTAAGTAGTAGTTTTAGTTTAGGTCACCGATTATTGTATAAGTGACCGGTAAAGAAAACATTCGGGGCAGTGATCTGTTCAACAATATTCGGATTGTGAGGTGAGTTTTCCTTACTGTATTTGTGGGTTGAAGGCGTCAATGGCGGCCTACTGGATTATTATCCTGGTATATTGGATGATGATATGTTGGTTATATAATAGACTGGTAGATCTGTACGATTACCTTTGTATACTAGATATGTGATAGACTGATAGATCTGTACGATTACTTATATTTTTCAATTTAAATCACTAAAAGGTACACCATCAAAAATATCAATCATACTTATGTTGCTATAGCTAAAAAAATGAATCTCTCGGCTTAAAACTACTAAACCATTCAACCGCTAGCTATATACTAATTTCAACATCTAAAATTTGATAGTTAACTTGTTGGCAGATGCCAATAAAAATCAACAAAAGATAACCAAATGATAGAATTTACCAAAGAATAACAACAAACAAAACTTTATTAGTGGGCAGTAAAGATTTGAAATGAAAACCAAATGAAAAATAGCAGAGCAATGCAATTTAAAACAAACCGAAGTGAAAAGAATAAACAAATTTTCAACGGAAATTTGAAACCTTGGAAAGGAATAACATTAAACAATGAACGATTAAAAACAAATTAACAATAAATATTTGTAATGTAAAAGCATTTAATAGTTACAGAATTACTGTAGAACACGACAATTTCTTTTATTTTCTCTGGATATAATCAAAGCCTAAGAAACCAGATTTCTTCATGTGTTTCATGGAGGAGGTGAAGATATGTAGCTCGGCTTTGAATGACGACCCTTACTTGCTACATAGGTGATTTCTAAATCGACTTCTCAGTTCTCATTTGTATGTGGAGACGGGAGGTGTGGAAACGAAGTCACAGTTGGAGTAAGTAAGGGCACGTAAAATATTTTTTAGATTAAATTTCAAAATCTTCTTGTCTGATAAATATTTTTAAAACAATACATTTTTGGTAAATATTTTTGTAAAAAAACACTTTTCTAGTAAAAAAACTCGGCAAAAATGAATATAAGACTCTTATGTATTCATGCTTATATATAGAACTTACCAAAAAGACCTAGTTTTAATTAAATTCTTCAAAAATTAACTCTTAATTTTCTCCTATATTTTCTCCACCAGATTGATTATCTTCTTCCTCCGTTTTACTTTCTCTTCCTTTATCTTCAAGTTGTTTCCGATAAGGTGCCGACGAACATAGAAATACATATATTAAGAATAAAAGATAAAAAATTATCCTCAATTTGTGGCGTGTTATGCTTGCAAATGGTAAAAAGAAATTACATATATTCTTTTTCTTTGAAAATGCATATTTATTCTTATAAAATGATGAATGAAGGATTTAGATAGTTTTGCTTTGATTCGTTTTCTCTTTACCCGATTTTTGCACTATCTATTTTTTTATGCTGTATCGCTAATTTATTTAGATCTCCTACCCAAAAGTTTTCTTTTTGAAATAATATGAAGGACATATATCCTAAGTTGCACGGAAACAGATACGACAACAGGAAACGGATACGGAACGGAAACGAGAAACGGAAAAATTAAAAAATTCAAGATAATGATACGGCATAGATACGACAATATAAAAATATGAAAAAACATATATATATATATATATATATATATATATATATATATATATATATATATATATATATATACTACTTTATAAAGTATACACATAAGGGGGAGTTCAAAAGTTTTAAGACCAAAGTCTTAAAACTAAGGAGCTTGAATCTTGATCCTTAATTTTACATCAAAGACATCTGATGGTATAGAATCATGAAAAAATGACCAATCAAAATTAATTATTTTTCTCAATTCTAAGTATAAAGAGCCACTCAACAAAACCCTAATCCCATTTCAATTTGCATCAGCCGCCACTTATTTCTCTCTTAGCTTATTCCTCTCAACCCTAATCATAAACACAAAACCACCGACCACCTCATCGATTTTTTCAAAATCGGCAGCCACCTTCGATGTTACCTTTGTCATCACACGATCCTATCAATGATTCCTCCCACATCTGTTACGTACTTCGACCTCCAAGGTTCGCTGTTGTTGCCTCCTTCAACAGTCGCGATCGTCTCCTCCGCCTTCAACCATCGAAGGTTCCTCTTTCTCCGGTACTTACTCTCTCTCTCTCTCTCTCTATATATATATATATATATATATATATATATATATATATATATATATATATATATATATATATATATATATCTTTTCTTATTTTCTGGATTTTGTTTATCAAATTAGGTTTTTATATTTCTAATTTTTGTTCAATCGATGGCTTAGGTTTGAAGAGTTTTCAAACACACTGTGAGAGCATCACCATAACTCTAAAGACATCACACATCATCCACATCATCTCTGAAATCCATATTACTTCCACCGTGTCGCGATTCCTCATGATGGCAGAATCGATCGATAAACAACCTCTGATATTTTTAGCAATAGAAGGTGAAATTGTTGATGGTTATAGCATTAAAGAGTTTCTTCCCATCTTCTACTTAAATCATGTCTCCATTTTTGTTTTTTGAGCAATACGTTCGTCAAAAAAGTATATTCGAATCTTGATTTTTCAATTCATGTTGGTCTTTGAATTTCTTTATTTGTTATCATATTTGTTTGGAGATTTATAATGATTGGGTTATCTTAAATGTTTTTACACTCTATCTGTTCGATAAAATGTCTCAGAGAGTGTTTAATAATCACTTTTTCACTTCATCCAGAAATGGATTGATCTATATAATCCGTCCAGTAAAACTCATTCACTCAACAACATTACGATTCTTTACTAACTCAACAAAATTATAGAATTTACAAGTATGGAAATTTGAATACTTATTGAGGGATTTATATTGGTATCACCGAACATGGAATCCTTAACTTTTGGAGTTATGCAACTTCTGATACAGAACTCAGTTTATTTAGTTAGAAAGTCATTGGAAATCAACTATAAAGTTTCTAGAGAATTGGCAGATACCCATGTTGATTGCAGTTACCCTTTGTTATGCCACTCATAACATTCTTGCATTTTTTTTTTGGTTTATATCAAAAAATATAATTTATGCTATCCCTGTGTCTGAAGTTAATTAATCATGTGACTTTTTTTGTTCAACTTTTCATTGCAGTTGTGCCTGAAGGGTTGTAATCACAAACTTAGGACTAAACACCATAACTGTGAGATATATCAGACCTGGAAGCTTTCTTGGGGTCAAGTACTTGATTTTAGTCAAAAGTTAAATTTTTTTTTGTTTTCCTAGATCTTTTGACCGATCTTTAAGTATGTGTATATGAAATTTCACGTTGTGTGTTCTATCTAAATGTGTGTGTGTTTGCTTAACTGTGTGTTTGGTTTGTTGTGCATGTGTGTTTTTACTTTAATATGAGACATTAAGATACGTCACTTACAAAATATAGGCATGAAAGACTCAAGTTCAATGTTAATGGATGTGGATGGTAGTTCACTGATAATAAAGTAAAAATACTATTGTATATACCGTACTTCTTAAGTTTTATATATTTCTTGGAATTGTCATAGTTGTTTTTGATAAAAAGTTACAACTATGGATAATATTGCAAAATTTTGGTAAATTTAATAATATTGTGTTTTATATCACAATCAACCACTTTAATATCAAAACAGTTTTGAATCACTAATTTTTAGTTTTGCTACCCGTCTAGAGAGTTAATCACCGAAAGGAAAAAATCGCCGGAATGAAACAAATCGAAAGAAACAATTTGACGACCGCCGAAATAACACTAACTTTCGTTTGAAAACTAATTACCGGAATGAAACAAATCGCCGCCGCCGCATCGCACGGGTATGTTACTAGTATATATATATATATATATAATATATATATATATAATATATATATATATATATATATATATATATATATATATATTAAAGAAATTCCAAAATATGTAAAGTTTAAACTCCAAAATTACTAAATATTTCAAAAGTAACTAATTATCATTAATCAAATCATTTTCAAAATCCAGTTCATCTAGTGAGTGATCTGCAACCTCCAAAAACCCGACATCTTCCATTGAATCAAAAGCATCTCCACCCGCATCCCACATCTTTACATCATCTTTCCGAGTCCTTGACAAAAGTCGGAGATTATTGTGGATGTAAACCAAGTCTTGAGCACGACTTTTAGTCAACTTGTTCCTTTTAAGCGAGTGAATAAATGCATAAGTACTCCAATTACGCTCAACACAAGAAGAAGAACTAGGTTGTCCAAGTAATCTAAAAGCCAAAGTCTGGAGAAAAGGAGTTTGAGCACCAAAGTTAACCCACCAATTCTTGGGTTCCATAGTAGCCATCTTTGAAATGCTTGTTAAATCTTCAAAAGGACCACTCTTCAGTGAAAACATTGCATACTCATCAAGGACTCTGCTATACTCATCATCATTAGGAAACAACCTTCGAAAACATTTCATCATTTCTTGTGAAATTTCTCCATCCCTATGTGGATCACATTTTGTAGAATCCTCCATTAACCATGCATCACTATAATATCTACAACATCCAAAAGTTAAAACATAAATATATAATAGAAATCAAGTGTATAATTTAAAATCTTATACCTTGGATGTAAAGAGTGACCTAAACAATGTAGGGGAGTGTTATTCTTAGCCCATCGAGCCACTAAAATACGATGCACAACGTCATAAAAGCAACTTATTTGAGATGTCAGGCGTTTTTCTTTCTTGTAGATCTTAATCTTCACTTTCTCAATCATAGAATCCCACATCTCATACACCAAGTGTAAACATGGCTTGTCGGTGTCACAAGCTCTAATCATCTCATATATAGGTCCAATGAAACTAAGAATATATGCTACTTTGTCCCACCAATCATCATTCAAAATATATTCTTTCACAGAGTTTGCTTTCTCAGTGTCATCTAATCAATAAGAAGACCATTCTTCACTTATGACCATACTTGAAGAACCCTTTTGATAAGTTTCAATCTCTTAAGCATCACAATGATGGAGGCAAAGCAAGTGTCAGTAACAGAAAGCAGCCTAAGAGGAGTAAACTTGGTGAAAATTGAGAGCCTCATATTATGGTTCATGATGAAATTTTTTATTGCAAACTCCTCTTCATGAACTTCTTTTATCCAGCGGCACTGTTCATATGTTAGTTCATTTGTTTCCACATTCCTTGGTAAACAAATGTTCTTCAAAGCAAGATTATGCGTATGAACAACACATGGTGTCCAACAGATGTGAGGAAACTGACTCTCTATAATCTCTCCAGCCACCTTACAATTTGCTGCATTGTCAGTAATGATTTGCACAAAAATTTTCATGACCAATTTCATTGATGACTTCCTTCATCAGTTCAACAATAAAAAATCTATCTTTCACTTCCCCAAAACAATTCACTGCCTTTAGAAACAAAGGACCATTACCTGAGGTAGCCATGAAGTTGATTAGAGGTTTTCTTGTAGGATCACTCCAACCATCACTCACAATAGTTACACATTTTTCTTTCCATGTAGACCTAAGTGGCTCCAATAGCTTGTGAACATTATCTTTTTCTTTTTGTAGTAATGTTGTTCTTAGCTTATTATAACCAGGAGGTACATAACCCTCAATTTTTTTGTTAGCAGCAAACTGAAAAGCCCTGACATAGTGTGGATTTCTTGCAAGATTAAAAGGTAAACCTCCGGTATAAAGCATTCTAGCTATTTCTTGATCCAGTTGGTCCCTAATTTCAACACCAAAAGCTCTTTCAATAGGTGTTGAAATACCTTTTCTTTTCTTAAATCCAACACCAGCTTCACATGGCAACTAGACTTCTTTCACTTGTGACTCGGTTTTCTTCTTTTCATACGCATCTTCTAATTGTGTCATGTTAAGTTTGTCAGCTGTTGTTGCTTTCTTACAAATAGAAATATCGGTACCTATATTAAACAACATAATAACATTGACATTCTTAATTACACAACATGAAAAAATAAGGTCATCATTGAAATTATAAATTCAATTACATTACATTAATCAAAACAAGAAATTGAATCAAAAACAAGAAATTGAATCAAAAACCACTTATTTCTTTACCATTGTTCATGAATAAATAGTTCTATTGAATAACATGAATCAAAAGTGCAACAAATACATGAATCAAAACAAAAATCACAGCCTTTTATTTCATTACAATTCTTAATGAATCAATAGTTCAATACTTCAATACAATAACATGAATCAAAAATCACAACAAATACATGAATCAAAAATAAAAATCACAGCCTCTAATTTTATTTCTTTACATTTTTTCATGAATCAATACAATAAGTCAATAACATAAATCAAAAATCGAAAATTACATAGACATACACACACTAATTTGAATAATAGATTACCCTTTATGTCAAGAAAACGTGCTCTAACTCTAGAATATGATCTTTGTCGGGTTTCACTGCAAAGGTTACACTTGAACTTCCAACATCCTCCTGCTCCAGCAAGTTTATCGAGTTTAGTCATAAAGTCCCACAATGGAGGTTGGTCTACTGATGTAGATGATCCTTGTGTTTCTTGTTCTTGAGAAGAAGCCATAATAATTGAATTGGTGAGTGGTGAATGTGTGAATGAGTTTTGATTTTTTTTTCTTGTTCTTGTCTTCTTGATCGACATCACAGAGAGGCAGTAAAACTATAAAAGTCGATCACTAAGGAAACAGTAGGCAGCAGCGATCGGTTTAGCAATTACACTTCTAAAGTTGTAATCGACTAATTGTAGGGTAATAGCAACCGATATAGGACTAAGCCCATTACTCTATTAACGCATATTAAAAGCCCATGCAAAAAAAGGAAACGTGAAGGAAACTTGCCAGAAACGTTAATAGGATTGCCGATACTTGCCGGAAACGTTTCCCGGCCGTTTCACCGACGTTTCCGTTTCCCCTGCGTTTCAGATACGGGAACGGCTACTGTTTGGGCGTTTCCATGCATCGTAGCATATATCTATGAATATGCACACCAAGCTTGCTCAATTTTTAGTGACTCAGTAATTACACCAGTCTCATCTTATTGCAACTTTATAGAATTTCTAATTAGCACCTATAAGGAGAAGATTATATGAAGGACGAAAAAAACTATATAGTGGGAAAATTGTCAACTTTAACTTGAATTTTTGTAAAACTATGTCATTTTGGTGGTTCTATACCTAAGATATATATATATATATATATATATATATATATATATATTAAAACATATTAGTAATATCTTTAATTTTAAAAGGTATAAGATACAAATGTTTTTTATACAAATCAATTATGCATAAATAAATCATTAATAAGTTGGAAGACTTGAATTAAGGAAGTTTATTAATAAAATTTAATGGAGCAAAATGACAATTTAAAAATATTAAATTCGTCTATATAAATTAGCTTATATTTTTCAAACTATACACCAATAATAATTAAGTTAAATCAAATGTATAAACATAAATATAAATATAACATCTAAACATAAATATTTTATTTAAAAGTGGTAATTTTTATTATTATATAATAACTAATAATAAATTCTAATTATTATTTCCCCATAAGAAAATTATTCTTTAAAAGAGTTATATATATTCGCTCCTTTGTGCGGGCACATATCTACTATATATAAAAGATATATATATATATATATATATATATATATATACACACACCCACACACACACACAACACACACACAACACACATATATATATATATATATATATATATATATATATTATATATATATATATTGTAATGTCCAAAAATATAGAGTAATTTTTTTATTTTTAATTATAAAACCAACTGAAGTTTCATACCAAATAAGAGATGGTTAACATACGAGTTCAAATTCCAAAACCAGTTATCAGAGTAATAAACAAAAGTCATAAAATGTGGAATCTCCAATAGATGAGATACAATCAAGTCGTGCCCTTCCCCTTACTACTAGAAATACCTGAAAATTTTTAAACTGAAACACGTAAACACAAAGATTTGCGAGTTCCCCAAAATGCAACACACAACACAGAATAATGAGACAACCCTTGGGGTATATTTCAACCTAATGGGCCTAACCTTTATGAATGCTACAGTCCAACTGCAGTCTTTCCTGCTATGATCCAACAATAGTCTTTCATGCAAGTCACAAAGACAAACAAGCATACAATGATACCTAGTGTCGTAAAAAGTAAAGTGAGAAGACTCACTTGAATCCTAGAGCTAAAACCGACTACTCGAAGTCCCAATGAATCAGCTACACGAACTGCCTAAACCAATCACAAGCTAAACCTCGTCCTATAGCTCAAAATCTCCATGTTTGACCCAAAAGTCAAACTGGTCATAAATTCAAAAAGTCAACGGTCACAATCAAATTTAACAGTCAACACAATTCAGAATCATGACCTTCTACATGTCACATCGTGAATCGCTAGCCGACAAAATAGTCGTGACAGTCTCGGAATTGCGACGTGAATCTCAAGCAGGACTAGAACCCTAATTACTCAGATCTGATAGTCCATTGATTGTGTTTTTTATTTGCATAAGTTTTTATTTATAAAGTCCTATTTAATCTCAACTAGTCTTAAACACAAATAAGCAGTTTACGGCCTAGTCGTGAAGTAATATAGTTTAGGGTAAGAAAGAACACATGGAACGTGATGATTTAGATCAAATAATTCAAATGTTAATTAAATTAATAACACTAAAGTACATGGTGGTTTTTCATTTTTGTGTAAACTAAATTAAACTAATTTTAATGCTCAATTAATCAACGAAACTAAATAACTAAATGGAAACAATAGATAAGAAGTACTTCCACTAGAATACGAATCCCCCAAGGTTTTATGTTTGATTTATTAGAAGTGCAATGGATTAATGAATTGATTACCAAATTGTAATATAACTAGTTATCTTGATTGGATTTCCTAGTACTAATAATTAATGAACAATTAACACAATGATCATGCAATTAGTGAACACATAATTAACTAAATAAATTTGAACTATGAACGATATGATCTAGTGCTTTCTTGTCAATGATCATGAAAATCAATCTAAGCATAGTGTAGATATCTAATGCTCTCTAACATAATCAAAGTCACCGATTAATATTATCTAATCCTAGCCTTATGATCAAAGTCCTAGTCATACAAACCTAATGATCGTAGATTCATATGATTCAAGTACATCAAGGTATAATGATCATTTAATCCTTATAATACTCAGCAATAAACAATAAAAATCATAATTTTAACATGAAAGATAAAGCAAATAATTGAACACAAGTAAAAACCAAATTCAATTAATCCTACTAACAAAATCAAACATATCAACAAGGTTTCATAAATATTTAGTGAAAGTAAAGGTTTTTACACCATATTCAGTAAACTAAAACAGAAAAAATACCAAACGATTGCAAGACACGATCATCAAGCAAACCTGAAGTGAAATCTCGATACAATAGCGCTTAAATATTCAAATCCTTGTTCCAATTAGTTCTCTAGCTTCAAATCTGACCCTAAAGGGTTCTTGAAAGGGTTTTAATTCGTCAATAATTGCAGCCCTAAGGTCTCTACCTTTTGGAATCGACCTAATGTCCGAAATATATATACTTGCCAAATTCTTATCACCACGTCTTGTTTGACCGCCACCACAATGTGGTCCTTGTGTTTATCCTGTAATCGTCAAGTCAGCGTCAAGAATCGTGAAGAATCCATGAACACGTCGTGGTGGTGATCACCACGTCGTGGTAGTTGAGAATCAACATTTTCTTAAAACGTCTGAAATTCTGTCTAGTATTTAGATCATTTTGAATATTGTCAATCGGTGTTACGAGTCATGAGATATGGCTAAAACACTAACGAGGGGTCAAGCTGCCATCAACATCTTTTTTTTTGTGTCTTTTTCAGGTCTGTTCTTCTCATTTTGCATCCTAGCTCCAATTTTAACTATAATTGAACATTTTCAAGCATATTAAGTATCATATATCTAAAAATATAACATTTTAATAAATATATTAAGATAATGGCATAAAATATATAGTTAAATATGGCCATATCATTCATAATGTCTTAAAGGATAAAGTTTTCAACTTTATCCATCCTAAAGGATTAATAACTCAAAATCTCAAACCTTAGGTCCAAGAGTCCACTTAAAGCCAAAACTCCATGCATGGTTAATGAACAAGCATTCACAACCATTTTTCCAACACTAGTCAAGTCCAAAAGGTGATTATTTTACTCATATGGTTACGGAGTTCTCCAAACTCTAAGTTCATCAATAGCCTCGGAAAAGGCCGGGGGAATGTCAAATCATGTCTTCAGAGTAATGGATCTCTTAAGAAGCTGAAGCTCTACCAACTCTTTGACAAACTACAAGGCCACGAATCAAACGTTGCACACACGTTAAGAGAACTGTCAGGAGGTCCTCTTGCCTTGGTTAGTCATGTTAACCCACTCATTCCAACCCCATCCGTCTCAGATCCATTCGGAACTATCCCACCCGTTATGTCACACCCCCGAACCTGGACGGCGGAAACGTCTGGGGGCGGATGACTTCGTGTATAGTATCATAACAATTGAATATGAATGAAACATAGCAACCAAACATCATACATTGGAAATACACACTTACATAGTTTACATATTGAATCTTGTTCATCAGTTACACAAAAGTAAGAAAGTAAAATTTC